TGTTGCGGGGTTTCAAAGAGCTCTCCGCTTCCTCAGGGCATGAACATAATTGGTATTTTAAAGGATTAAGAGATGGCGCAGATCAACAAGAGTTTATTATTTGCTGTATAGGATTTAGCCAAATTCAGTGAATCGGCAAAAGTGAATTCAGTGAATCGGTGCTGCATTTGGAAGCTGTACTCGGGTATAGGGGAAAGGACTAGACATGTGCACGGCAAAAGAAAAAATTTGGGGATGAAACAAATGAAAAGGAAAAACATTTTCATTCGTTTGTTCAATGGAAATTAATTTTAATGCTGTTTCGGGTTCGGAGGCAAAGAGCCTCCGAATCTGAAACCGCAGAACGAGCGGCAGGCAGTATCGGCTGCCAGGACGTTCTGCGCATGTGTGCCACTAAGATAAACTCCAAAATGGCGGCACCCGAATATGTGGGCGCCGCATTCTTGGTGTATACCAAGATATACTCCAGTACGGCGGCGCTGGTGGCCGATCTGGCCGCCGCTCATTTTGCAAATAACATCACCCAACTCTGCATATGCGTGGCGTCATGTGATGTTATGCACCCTGCCTCCAAGATGGTGGCGAGCATGCGCAGAATGCGCGTTCTGGTAACAAATTTGTATAGGCCCAAATATATCTTTTCGGTATATTCGGGCATATAAAACATGCATTATTTTGGATTCGGACGAACCGCCGAATCAACTGAATTTCGTTGTTTTGCAGGTTCGTCCCAATCAGAACGCACATGTCTAGAAAGGACTAGTCAGCCGTATTTCCTGCCTTTCCAGTCTCTTCCTATAACTGACCTGCCATGCCTTGTTTGGCACTGTACTTCTTTATGGAGATGGCCATCTTGGTATAGTCAGGGCTTTGTTTCTTCATGTCTGAGCTTCCACCCTGCTGACTTCTAATCTGATGACAGTTGGGGGTCATGATGAAGAAGCAGCAAGAGGGTGGAAGAATGCAGATCAGAATGGATGTATAGCAGCATGGAGATCTTGCTCTGCAGGTCCTCAGGTACAGCTTCCTCTCCAGCAAGGAGAACACTGAGAAGCACTAACCATGCCAATGCAAAGATTTAAGGCCACACAGGACCTCTATATCAGGCATGTGAGCGCACACGCCTGATGAAGAGTTCCTCCATGGCCTTGAAATGTTGCATTAACCTCATTATTAAATCCTTTGGACTATTGATTTACGGATCCATGGTGTGCCACCTACATATGTTCTCCTCTGTGTGCGGACACCGGCCAACCCGCTGGAAGTTGATGCAGCAACCTGCTTCTTCAGGCCTTGTCCAGGAACATGTTCATTGGGAATATATTGAGTCCTATTGGAAGATTTAGCCTGCCTCTTGTTGGCTTACACTTTTTTGGGGGGGGGGTGAATATCTGTGTATTTGGTACTAGGTATAATTTTAATGTTTTCCTGTGTGAGACTTCCAAAGTCTTCCAGCAAACGCCAAAGAGAAAGCGACATGATACATGGAAGATGTGTTGTGGTCCATTGATATCCTGAGCATGATGGAGGCCGTGTGGACATCGGCTGCCAGTTGCTGGATGAGGATGGTGCAGACAGTATATACTCTCAGCTGGAATTCCGATGGTAGAAGAGATTTCTGTAATCTGCTCACATGGCCACCGCTGAGAATACAGATCGCTTTGTCTACTCATACTCCAAGGACCTGCTCATTAACCCATTGGACATAGTTTATTTAAAGGGACTTGGTCACAGCCCAAAATACCTCGGGAACCCTCTCGCAGGCCTCCTGCTAGTGGTGCCATTAGAGCGTTTTGCTGACTGACTCATTGTAACTTTGATACGACATACAGTTTATTCTGCTATTGTGTCATTCTTCTTTTGTAATCCCGAACAATGAATCTCTCTTATGTGCTTCCTTTCGGTCTGTTACATATACTATTGAAAGGTTTTTTGTTCTGCCAATAGTGGGATGGATCTGTCCCTACAGGACCGGGCCCATTCAGGTCATGTGGGGGCCCAGGGGACAGAGAAGGGGCTCTTACCTTTTGCAGCAGCCAGGAACATAGCTGGGGTTGTCAACTGTCCGGGCCGGGATTTTCGTGTTTCAGGCTCTCCCCCCTGGCTGTCTCTCCTCGCTCATTCTCCTAGCTGTTACTCCTCCCTCTCTCCCCTGGCTGTCGCTCCTTGCGCTCTCTCTCTCCCCTGGCTGTCACTCCTTGCGCTCTCTCTCTCCCCTGGCTGTCACTCCTTGCGCTCTCTCTCTCCCCTGGCTGTCACTCCTTGCGCTCTCTCTCTCCCCTGGCTGTCACTCCTTGCGCTCTCTCTCTCCCCTGGCTCTCACTCCTTGCGCTCTCTCTCTCCCCTGGCTGTCACTCCTTGCGCTCTCTCTCTCCCCTGGCTGTCACTCCTTGCGCTCTCTCTCTCCCCTGGCTGTCACTCCTTGCGCTCTCTCTCTCCCCTGGCTGTCACTCCTTGCGCTCTCTCTCTCCCCTGGCTGTCACTCCTTGCGCTCTCTCTCTCCCCTGGCTGTCACTCCTTGCGCTCTCTCTCTCCCCTGGCTGTCACTCCTTGCGCTCTCTCTCTCCCCTGGCTGTCACTCCTTGCGCTCTCTCTCTCCCCTGGCTGTCACTCCTTGCGCTCTCTCTCTCCCCTGGCTGTCACTCCTTGCGCTCTCTCTCTCCCCTGGCTGTCACTCCTTGCGCTCTCTCTCTCCCCTGGCTGTCACTCCTTGCGCTCTCTCTCTCCCCTGGCTGTCACTCCTTGCGCTCTCTCTCTCCCCTGGCTGTCACTCCTTGCGCTCTCTCTCTCCCCTGGCTGTCACTCCTTGCGCTCTCTCTCTCCCCTGGCTGTCACTCCTTGCGCTCTCTCTCTCCCCTGGCTGTCACTCCTTGCGCTCTCTCTCTCCCCTGGCTGTCACTCCTTGCGCTCTCTCTCTCCCCTGGCTGTCACTCCTTGCGCTCTCTCTCTCCCCTGGCTGTCACTCCTCGCGCTCTTCCCCCTGGCTGTTTCTCCCCTCGCGCTCTCTCTCGCTCTCTCTCTCCCCCCTGGCTGTCTCCCCCTCGCTCTCTCTCCCCTGTGGAATGTCCCTCGGCATCCTCACGCTCAATGCAAGTGAATGGACGTGACAACGTCACAAGTCTTTAGACTGCTTGAGCCCGGGCGGAGAAGAGGCTGTGGGGAACGGTCTTGCAGCCAGGTGGGACCGAGGATCTGGTGTGTATATCTATACCCTTGCAGTGCGGAGGAAGCCCACCGATTGTTAATGTTGAATATGCCCGGAGTTCTTCTTTAAAGGGAACCATTTGCTCTTTACTGTACATTATGCTAATCATACATCCGCTGCGTAACGCATCTCCAGGAATCTCCCCGCGACGTCTCTGCGGCTGCAGACTATCTCTGTTTTATCTTCTGGGATGAATAATATGCTCGGCTGTCCCGGCCTGTGCTCAGGCTTGATAGTTTGTGCTCCATGATTTCACCCCATTGGGCCATATCATGAGAGAGTATATCTCCATGCGTGTCCAGCTTTCTCCCCCCC